TTAATTACACATCACCAAGTCCCATTAATCAGTATAAATATAAATCTGTCACATCAAATAGTAGTCAAAAAGGTTTCCATTTCTTTTTTATTATCACCACCAATATATATAAAAATATAAACATGAGTACACATCCACCTCTTGGTTCACAAAAGTAACCCCTAGTAACAAAATTAAGTAAAAAGGGCAAATTGAAAATGATAGAAAGCAAAAGAACAGGTAAAAAGAAATAGAGATAGAGTGACGGTGTTCAGACAGACACATTTGGTAATGGACCTAAATGGTGGGGCTTTTTGGTGGGGGTGTCTCAATCTCAATCTCATTATCGCACCCAGCTCACAAATGCACAGAGACACACATTTCATTTCATACCCCACCACAACACCACTAGGGTGTGTTTGGTTGGCAGCAAAAAGATGATTCAAATTTTTTATAAATAAAAAAAGGCTACTTAAAGTTGACCCAACTCGCTACTCGACTCAGTGAGCCATCACCGAGTCGCAACCGGGTTTCCAAGCCGAAGTGGCGATGAGCGGCCGAGTGTGCCAACCCAACATCAAACACCCATTGTTCTCTTCCACTCGATACCCATCCCCGCCGGCAAACAAAGCCAACAGCATACTCGCTTGCTTGAACGCGTTCGACCCAAGGTGGACCGGCACAAAACCGGCCGAGTCCAACCGGGTTCGCCACTGAGTCAAAGTCTCGTGCCTCTCAACCCGATCCACCCCTTCGCAAGCCACCACGTTGCAGATTTGCTTCCCCAAATACAGCTCTGACATCGCCTTATCCTGACTGTTCACCGACCCCTCCAGCGAGTCAAAAAGAGTCGAGTAATAGTGCAGCGACTCGTTGAACCGGTCCATGAAAACCGGACCGTTGTGGTTTGCCTCTTGCTCCACCACGGTGACAATCTCCGGCTTCATTTGCTTAACCACAGACAGGACCTTCTCAATCGCGCCAGGGCGAGCCAATAACTTGTGTAACTCGAAGACCGAGTTAACAGCCACCGATTCGACCTCACTCGGTCTGAGTTCCAGCATGGACGCGTCCAGATCAGCCAAGCTGTTCGCCACAAACCCTCTGTATTCAAACTCCACATGGATGGTTTCAGCCAATTGGGCCAGCTTCCAGCCCACTTCTTGGAGATGGTCGGAGTTGTCGGACGCCGGCGGCCCGATACCCGTAAGCCGAAAGGCGGGTGGACCGCCGGGTCGGAGCGCCAGGGCTTGCATCAGCGCCGGCCACTGCATCCCTTGGTTCATCGAAAAATCGATGACATGAACTCGAGTTTTGCCTTGGAGGGCTTCGAGGATGGCTTGATTGGCCGTAAAGTGAGCGAATTTCAAGTACGGGCAGGTCTCGTAGAAGTGCATCTGCAACATATCGGAGAATGAGTGGTCGATTGGGGACTGAGGGTAGACTCTGAAGATTCTTTGAGCTAGAGCTTCGGCGAAGTAGGTTGCAACTTTTCGCATAGCACCTGCTTGAGAAATTGCCAAGTAGCCGATCTGGGTCACCAGAGCTTTGGCCAGGTTGAGGTTGTTTTTCTGTACGGCTTCCGCGCAGGCCATGAGGCCGTGAACGAGTCGGACCCCGTTCTCTTGTGAGTCGACCAGGAGGGCAGGGCGAGTTGATGACTCGGTGGTGGGGATGGAGAGGGGTTGTGGTTGCGGAAGAGAAGAGGCGGTGCGCCGGTTGAAGACGAGGTCAGAGGCAGAAGACCCAGATGAGGGTTTGAGTCGCTTGGCCTCCCGGGACGAAGAATCGTGGTGGGTTTGGGTGAACATGGTAGCTTTGAGGTCGTAGTAGTTGGAAGAGGAATTACAGTCGTCGAACACTACCTGATGATGAGGATGATGATTTTGAGTTTGTGGAGGAGGCGGGCTCAGGGATTTGCTCATCTGTTGATCTCGGAAATCGATGGAGGTGATGGTGGAGGACTCGGCCGGAGCTAAGAACGAGTCGTCGCCGAGTTGGACTTGTTGCTGCTGATTAGGAAGCGGTGCAGCGGCAGCAGCCATTAAAGGGTCGAAATTGGGAGGTGGGTTGATCTCGGAGATCATGCTCTCTAGCCACGTCGATAGATCCGACGGGTTATAGTGAACGGTATCAGAAGCAAGCTGCGAAAGGCCATCTTCCTGAACACTGCCCATGAATTCTTCAAGCTGTTCGAGCTTCTGGGCCACATCTGCCATGTCAGAGGACCGTACCTTGTACCCCAACACGGCCAGAAGCTCGTCCATCCCACCGTCGATTCGTTGGGCTTCTTCTTCCCACATCTTATTGGAGGCTTTGCCACAGTCGCCGGCGGAGGTGGAAGCCATGGATGATGGGTCTGGATAGGTATATTGACGATAACTCTGATGCTCTCTTTTCATTTCTCTTTTTCTGGGTTGGGTTGATTTTGGGTTTGTGATTAATTGTGAATTGTGAAATGGTTTGGTTTGGATTTGGGCATGGGGAGGTGTGTACTCAGAAACCAAAGCGGGTTATGAATGGTTGAAGAATCTGAGCATTGGGGATTGGGGGGCGTTTGCTTGGTTTTTCACTACCACCACTACTTGTTCCATCTCTCTCTCTCTCTTTCCCTCAGCTGAGGAAATAAGAATATTAATGATGCCTCTCTTGAGTCTTTGCCAGTTTTAGTATTTTTATTTCCATTTATTTATTATTTTACAAATAAATAAATAAAAACTGCAAAAATAACATATGTATATATATATGAACTCGTGATGGGGGCGCGACCTCCAATGAAGTATCAGGCAAACAGCAACAACTACTACAGCTCAAACACAAACAGATAAACATGAAATTATTTACATTTTACCCTCTATTTTCCTCTCTCTTTTTTTTTGGGAAAATTAAAAAAATGGTCACAGGCTCTGCAGGGTGCAGCCTCATATTATTATTGTATAGACCTCCTCGTTCATTTGATTCCCATTCTCTCTCTTCTTCTTTTTCACTTTTTAATGGCACGTGATTTGAATCTGATTTGGGGTTTAGTTTAAGTAAAAAAAATTGAGCCGAGGTTGGAAGACCATGTTCTGAATCTGATCTTCAGTTACTAGGTTTTACTTTTTTACTTAGTAAAAGTTAGTCAAGGGAAAAGAAAAGGACACTGTTCCGTTAATAGCGACACATCCATTAATTATAATTATTATTGATCATTATTTATTTGGTGGCTTGATGTTCACTTAATTAATTGAATTTGGGTTTCAGGGGCATATGTGGTTTAAGATAAGTGATTGCCGCGTAGGAAAGTTAATGCATATTATTATGGTCGTGATTTGCTGTTAATTTAATGATTTCCATCCATTTCATTGGGGGGAATCGGATGTGGTCAGATGCATTGTACAACAATTTAGGTAAATTTACAATAAAATAATGCTCGAGCCAGATCATTAAAAGTTGTCGAGCTTTGAAGTTGAGCAGCTTCTCTCTAATTAATGTGAACTTATCCAATCTTTTTTTTCCTTTGCTTTTATGTATGGCAAAGTTTCATTCATATGGAAATTAATGCAACGAGCAAGTCCTATGCAATGCAACCGCCAATTCTCAGGTCTCACAACTCTTTTGTCGACTGATGTGTAGAGATGCTCGCTTAATTCTCTAGATCTTATTATTTTTGTACCTTCACTTTCTTGTAGTAAAAACTCATCTTGTGTACTGTTCACTTAATTAATTGAATTTGGGTTTCAGGGGCATATGTGGTTTAAGATAAGTGATTGCCGCGTAGGAAAGTTAATGCATATTATTATGGTCGTGATTTGCTGTTAATTTAATGATTTCCATCCATTTCATTGGGGGGAATCGGATGTGGTCAGATGCATTGTACAACAATTTAGGTAAATTTACAATAAAATAATGCTCGAGCCAGATCATTAAAAGTTGTCGAGCTTTGAAGTTGAGCAGCTTATCTCTAATTAATGTGAACTTATCCAATCTTTTTTTTCCTTTGCTTTTATGTATGGCAAAGTTTCGTTCATATGGAAATTAATGCAACGAGCAAGTCCTATGCAATGCAACCGCCAATGCTCAGGTCTCACACCTCTTTTGTCGTCTGATGTGTAGAGATGCTCGCTTAATTCTCTAGATCTTATTATTTTTGTACCTTTCACTCTCTTGTAGTAAAAACTCATCGAGAACTTATTATTTTTGTACCTTTCACTCTCTTGTAGTAAAAACTCATCTTGTGTACTGATGCGTAGATATACTCACTTAATTCTCTAGATCTTATTATTTTTGTACCTTCACTTCCTTGTAGTAAAAACTTATCACTATTTCTCTCAAACTCTGATCACCAAAAAGACAGAAAAGTAAAACCTCGTAAAAATTCTCACACCCAGGAAGAGAGAAAATTTCAGAAATCAGGAATTCTTTAACCTCCAATGGTCAATTACAATTATTGTGTAAGAAGCACATGGAAATTATATATTTCACTTTAAATACAGTCCTAAAACAAGAAGAAACGACGACACATGTGCTCACATAATGCAGGCGATAATTGAAAATCAAATATTCCTTTTTTTTAAAAAAACAAAAACAAAAACACAATCATTCACTATTAAAAATATGATTACCAGCTAATGGTATTATTAATTATACTCATGAAAGATTACTCTCATTCATGATCAAAATTGACATCGTCACTTAACACAAATCCACTGCCCCTTTCTTTGCCAACTTCCACAATTAGATAGATAAGATCGCAAATCCTCTCATGTGAACCATACAATATGCACTAGTACTATAACTCCAGCATTCAAGTACTCATAATTTGATGAGACTGCTTTCATATTATAGCCTAGTCAACTTTTACTTGAACTTTTTTTTTAATTAACTTTTACTGGAGCTTTCTCCATCATTAAAAGATAACAAAAGGAAGTGGCAGTGGGGGGTTTGGTTTGGACAGAAGGCATCGACTATATTGTGTGTGTAATTATGCGCTATCTGTGTGCAAACAAGTTGAAGCAAATATTCCATGTGTATTGTTCTTATCGCCACACAAAATTTAAAATCACAAATATTATAAGATAATGGTGCTCTTCTTTGGCCTCATACGTAAAGTTCCACTTCTTTTGGATGGTTTCAAACTCTCTCTCTATTTTCCCTTCTGGTTCACATAGAATCTGGGAGATAATAGCTTATGATGGTCCATGACACGTTCCTCAATACAATATTTCTGTACCTTTCCTTGCTCTGCTTTTTCGATGAATCTTTTGAGGGACCATTTGGGACCAACGAGCGCTTCCAAAACCTTCACCACGTGAATGTCCTAATGCCTTCAAATATAAATCAAAATTTGGCACCTGCAACACCTGCGGACAGCTACCGATGAGTTGGTAACTACAACATCCGTTGCAGACAAGTTTAAAGATAGTAATTAAGCTACTTGAGTAAAGAATTTCCTAAACCTTTCGATTAGCATCATGATCCCTCTACGAAAGATTTTAACTGCTGTCGAAATGCAGGGATCTTGTCTGCTTTAACCGCCATGACTAACCCCATTTGCCGATAGTCTCTCAGCTGCAAAATTTAAAACAAAAAACAGAGAAGAAATCGATATTGTCATAAAGGCAATTAAATTGCAATAATTAAGCCATAGGCACAATCAACTTAAAATTAGACATTCGTGATAGAGTTTGAATGTCTTCAGCATAAGGACCTTTTGAGCTAATTGGTATTGCTGCGATCTTGAGAAATTGTCCAGGTGAAAAATGCTATGAACTATTTGAGAAAGAGTGTGGGAACTGGACTTAATAGCAAGGTTCCGTGTAATTTCCCAAACTGTTTTTGTTTATTTGTTTTTTCCAATCCTCATTCACAAATCAAATAGTAACTTAAGAAGAGATTTTCAAATTTTCCATCCCTTTCTTTCTTTGGAGGTGAACTACTCATAAGTACGTTAGTGGATTAGGGCCAAGACAAGAGTTTGAAGTTGAATAGGAATCAATACGAGAAATCAGGGCAGGCTGCCGATATCTTTAATACTTGCCTCATGAGTTGCAAGCTGCTGAGTGTGCAAAGAAAATTCAAACGACCAGGAGCTTAGCTGAAATGCGTTTAAGGAAACAATTAGTAAATGAAGCACGAGAGACATGAAATATTATTTATGTCAAATGATCAGTACCTCGTGAAAAATTTCATCTTCTGGCTTTATATATATTATTTCCTCGTCACTAGCACTCGTGCCCTTTTTCTGGTGTGCATTTTTGTGCTATATTTTTCCATCCGAAAACAAAATAAATATATGGCAGAGAGAGGGGAAGAGGGTTCAATAGGCACGGAGAATGCTTAAATGGCATACCTTGTAAACTTTACTGACTATTATGTAAAACTTAAAACGAAAGAAATTGCGGAGCTCCTCTGTTGGCTACAAAAAGTGAAAAAACAAATGTTATTTAAGTAAAAGAATTTGTTCCCGGCAGGTATGGAAATATACATAACCTCAATCCCATATAATCTGAATCTAACCTCATCTTCTGTAGCCCAAGAGACTTCATCAAAGAGCGCATCATAAAGAGGTGGCAAGAGCTGTGGAGGTAAATTCATCACCCGTTGAGAGACCAAGAGACCGACACTCTCTGCTTCCTTTCCCAAAAGTGATCGCAGGTCATCTATTACATCCTTCTCTTGAGATACCTTAAGGAGAAACTCCTTAACCTCCATAAAACATTTGTGGTCCTATTTAGAATTAAAGAAACGCAATCAAGGATCTAAATAGTAGGAAAAAGCTATGTAAAGCTAAGAAAATGCCTACCAACAGATAAATGTTAGAAAGATGTAGCCATGTGAATAACTGGAATACAAAAGTATAGATTACTTGCCTTATATCTGCCCAAGTTAAGGGCAGTAGCAAGAGCAAAAATTCCATTGTCTTCATCATCCTCTATTTTAACAACAGTTCCTACAGTGGTCTGTTCCAAAATTAAGTCTACAAAACCACTCAAATCCCATTCTGTATCATCAAGGTAGGTCTGTAGCAAGGTCTTCAATCCGTGAAAGTCATCAGGTTTTGGATCAAAGAAAGCAAAATCTGCTTGCACAGTTCCCTTCAAAGTATGAACCAAATTCTCATAAAATTGCTAGTAGATACAATATGAAAGAGTAATTACTTTTGTATTTCAGCTATCCTGATACACAAATGCAACTATATGGACAACGAATACTATCAGAATTTTCTATCCCTTAAAAGAAATAGTACCAGAAGAATGTGCTTACATCAAACTCTTCTTCATCAGAAGACTCGGAGTGTTCATTCTTGACTTTTAAAGTGTTCTTTCTCGATCCATTACCTAAAAAGAAAGATAAGGAGTCATTAGCACGCCCATTCTGAAAGAGTTAACAGATAGCAATATTAATTATGAAGTGATGCCTTATCTTAAGGAAAAGGGCTATTCAGATGATGATGATATTAATACCTGCGGAGTTAGGTTGAGATTTTTTCGGGAGGTCTGGGCCGTGCATTTGGCGGCTGGACATGCAGCTGGAGGCAACCCGAGCGACTTGACGAGCAAATGGGGAAAAAGTCAGAGGTTGATATTTCATCAATCGGCGATGCCTCACCGGTTTACGGGGCATCTTTGATTATCTGTTGCAATAAATGGCCGAGTAAGGTTCCGGTCATTGAGATTGAAGGAAACCCATATCTATACGTAACTGAGATAGTAAGGCACTCTGTTGCTCGGAGCTTATACGGAGCCGATACGATACGGCACCGATACGACACTTGGCGTATCGTAGACTTTTCTAAGATGTTGACCTTACGATACGGCTCCGATACTCCATTGATACGGTCACGATACGCTCGCGATACTGTGCCGATACATCGAGGGGTAACTTTGACGGCAACCAAAAGACAAGAAGAAGACGAAGGAAGAATGAAGAAGAAAAGAACTTACTTGCGCTTGCAGCTGCTGCGAATCTGCAGTTGCAGACAGCGGCTGTGCGAAGAAGAGGCGCGGTTAACAAGTGAAGAAGATGATGTCAGGTGCCCTAATTACAATACACACCGTTTTAGTTGCATAGGTGGCCAATGTTAAAAAAAATTGTTTTATACCTTTTTTAAGTCTGATGCATTCATTTGGGCCCAGCCCAAGAACTGAAACAAGCCATATATAGCCTAGAAAAACATAAGGAACCAGGAAAACAAAAAGGCCCAAAATGCTAATTTTACATATATATATACTAGACCTGCACGCACTTCCGCTCATGCGAGAGGCTTTTTCTTAATCACGCGCGCTACGTGCGACTTACAAAGTTTCGTAAATATTTTTTCTCAATTATATTTATTTAGATGTCCGTATCAACAGTTTCATATTTTAATCATGCACGTGTGATAAATCGTCATCTTAAAAGTTTTCCTTTATCGTCTGTATTTTTCTAGACGTCCATCTTAGCATTTTATTTTTCTAGACGTCCATCCTAGCCTATACTATTGATGAGGCTAGTATTGTACCCTATCACTCATTCCAATTGAATATAGTACTCGTGATTAATGTTGCATGGCTTTATTCGTAACATAAAAAATAGAAGTTGATGCCTGAACTGGACACTTTACATCAATATGAAACTGAATCTGGATCTAGAATGACGTGGACACTTAACAAAAAATAAACATAAAGAAAGAAGAAACTAATAGTGTTAGTTTAAACAAATAAGCAATGTAAACCAATACCCAATTCCAGTCAGAAACAACCCAAAAGTATCCCAAAGGGTGATTTGTTTGCTTTCTTTTTCCTTTGTCACCTGCGTATTCCAGAAAGACAAAAATAGCAATCGTGGATTCTCACTAACACATAAACGTAGAGAAATAAAGCCATGGCTTTGTTAGGCACATTTGGAGGCCCAAATTATCAGCAGAAAACAGAACACCTAGTTACAGTAGAGCCAATATTAAAAAGTCCAATTTTGGGGGAAAAAAGGGATTGTATAATAATGGACAACTTTTGAGAGAACCCAATAGGAAAAAATCATCTTCCCACTAAACTAATGTATGTTGATTGGAAACTTAAAATACAAAATATAACGAAATGAAGAATCATTAACCTTAAATATAGTTTCCTCTGCTTCTTATGGAACCCTTATGCATCAGAGAGTGTGAGGTGAGAGGCGATTCCATCTGTTGAGATAAAATTCCAAAGACTTTTTAATTTCATAAGTCAAACACATAAATAATTACAAACACTAACACAAACATAAACACAGACCTAGACCCTAGCCAAAGTTTCAGTCAATCAAACATAAATTAGGGTTAGCTTTGTGTGAGAGAGAGATTCATACCATTTAAAGAATTGATGCTCTGCAGATTGAAGATTATTAAATAGAAAGCATGGAACCGGAGTCATTGAAGCAATTCTGGACTTCGAGTTCTTGAACTAATGACTGGACCCCGAAAAGTGAAGAATAAGAAGATGAGAGCGTAAAAAAACTGAAAGGAGCTGCTCCCCTATACGAATTAAAACTAAAGAGAAAGAGAAATGATTATCAGATAACTAAAACTAAAAATTGTTTTTTTCATTCGATCCCTTTTCTCAGAAACCATACAATAATATAAAGGCGGCCAAAAACATAATAGTGAAATCAAACTTACACACACTTTGAGTTTTAAAATTTATTCCCCACTCCACTGATTCCAACAGTTTTCTCAAACTTCGGTTCTGTTGAAAAGGCCTCAAGCATGCAAAGCACAGGGTGAGAGGATAATATTATAACATGAATCCTAGGAAGAAATACTTGAGTTTTGTGCAAGCCTAAACACATGAAAACTTGACCATACTTGGCATCTTGAAGCATGGCATACTAGTACATGAAACTATTATTCAAAAAGTCAATACAACAAAGAAAAAGAACTAAAAAGACAAAATTTCACCAACACTAAAAAATCTTACAAATTTCACCAAATCTCTTCACTGTTCTCACTTCTAATTTCATTTTCACCCTCATTATGGAGTTGTTGCATTCATTGAAATTAGTTTTATTATAAAGAACTAAGCTTTTCTCATTTCTCTTCATTTCCCAATTCTTATTTACAAAGCTAAATTAGATAATACAAAATAAATCTGACCAACAAAGTGTTCAAACTAAAATCAACTTTGGCATTTTAGCAAACACTTGGAATGCTAAGCTGAATATATGCAAGTGAATAATCTAACTAAACCCTTATAGAGGAAACAGTTCAAATATGAAAAAAGCAAAGGCAGGGCGTCATATTACCTGAGACTGAGGGTTGGTGATGCGAGATGGACCGTCTAATTTAGAATCTGAGTAAACATTGATCGGTTTTAACAGCATCATACCATAATTTTCTTGACTCTCTCATACACTGCAACATCTTACAAATACTGAAAATTCACAACAACAAAAAACGAAAATAAGCACACAAAATCTACTAAAACATAATGACCTACAGAAGTTTATCAATTACTAATATGCAGCTATAATTTCATATTCTCACTGTTGTTGGGGCCAGAAACAAACAGTTTACAACTCAACTGGGCTGCCTAACCGAACAATTTGGCTTAGTTCAGCTAAGCTCTAAATATCACGAAGAATCCCAAAATAATATAAACCAAATGATTTCAACGAACTAAACAAGGAGCTGCACGGCTTACAAAAAACTGGATGATTCACTTATCGATAAAAATATAACAAAACAACAATTTAAATGAAAAATAGAAACCCAGAAAATAGAATTGCTTCGTTGAGTAAGTAGGTTATTCAATTTCTTCACAAAACATAAGCAAACAAACATACAGAGAACAATTACTTTTTGATGAAACAGAACATAAATAGGAGTCTGAGAAGCAAGGATTATAATGCGAACGAAAAACTTACACCGTACTGGTAAGGAATTAAACCGAGTGGAGATGAGGACCCAAACTCGGCGACGGCGCGGCGGAATCCAGATGTCGAAAAGATTAATTGGCGACTCGCGCGCAGGACTCAGCAGGTGCTGCTGGGTTCTTTTATCTTTTTACTAAACGGTGCGCCTTGCAGCCGACGGCTACTATGTTGCAGAGGCAAACGCGCGGAAGAAAACGCCGCATCCGACCCATTTTTTATTTTATATAACCTCGCACAGTAACGACGTCGTGTAGATATATAAACTTTTAAATTTGAACTGAAAGACAGAGAATGGTAAAATATTATAAGAAAATGCTATTAGTTAATGAAAACATTAAGAATTGAAATTATTAATTAAAATAGGATAATATGGTAAATTCACACTTTTTCATATTAAAAATTTTTGAAATTAAAAGAAAAATTAAATAATAAATCTTATTTTTATGGAACACAACCACCCATTATCTTTTTTAATTCTAAAATTTATTTTTTTATTTTTTTAAAAAGCATCTCACATGCGCGGGAGAGCATGCGGAGATGCTAGTTTATAATTATGCTTGAAACATATTATAATTGAAAATATATTTTTAATTGCAATAATTTATGTTCAAAACGTTTACGCCTTCAAATTTTAAGGCTTACGTCTCATCTTACGAGGCATAAAAAATCTCTCTTGCCTTTTAAAACATTGGTTTCAATCCACAACCCTAATTGTTTTTTTTTTTTTTAAATTTTTGGTTGGTTAGTGTGAGTTTTTGTTTTGGTTAATTACTACAAGTTTTGTGTTTTAATCCCTAATTGTTTTTTTTTTTTTTAATTTTTGGTTGGTTAGTGTGAGTTTTTGTTTTGGTTAATTACTACAAGTTTTGTGTTTTAATTAATTGGTGAAAATTTTGTTTTGGTAAATTCATACAAAACACAAATTAACACAAAAACGAATTTATACAAGGTATGTAAATTTACTCCCCTCATCTCTTCCTCCCCTCTCCCCTTCTCCTCTCATCCCCTGCTCTTCCCTTCTCCCATCTCCTCTTCTCACTTAAAATCATCTAAAGAGATTCTCTATATAAGTGTTTTTTTGCCTATCCAAAATAGTCCCAAATGACCATTACATCCTCTGAATGTGCGAGATGTAAATGTGGCTTTACACATCCAATTTACAACTTGTGCATTAGAGATGCTATAATGACTTTAAGTGATTTTATGTAGAAACACTTCTCCGGATCCCTAGCAATGTTAAAATCACCTAAAGTGATAGGTGATTCAGGCTCGTTTAAGTGATTTAAAGTGAGAATCACTTAAAATCACTTAAAGTGATTATATGAAGAAACACGTGGGAGGTGCTTCTCCTCGTAAGTGATTCTTCTCATACGTGATTTTGGCCCTCCTATAATTACTTCTAAACAAGCCCAAAGTTTTTGGCTATATTTGGTGACTATTGGATTTTATTTTATTACATTTATTTGATTGGAAATGATAACACTAATTCAATAATGTGTTTGGTTGATACTACACATGATTAAGGGATTGGATTAATAGAAAGGTGCTATTAGTATTTACATGGCTAGAAGGATTATGTATAATCCAATCCAATTTAATCCCAACATTTTAGTAGGATTCATAACCCTACTACATTTAGCCCTAATAAAATTAGACATCCACCAATCCATATTTATTTTAATTCAATAAATATTTAATTAAAATTATAAATCAAATCCAACTATATAATCCAACACAACCAACCATTTAAGGATACAACCAAACCAATCCATGAAAATAAAATTTAAGAAATTGTTCACATTTTGGAACAATAATTGTGCCCCGTCCAAAAAGATATACATGACTTAAAAAGGAAACTTATTTATTTAGATATGTATTCCCTAGGCATGTAACTGGATACCAAATCTGGCACGTAACCTCCATTACCAAACAACCCATACCATTTGTATTTTTTTCATTTTCCCAATTTAATCACGTGACAGTCTGTCATAATCATGTACATGAGTATGAGTTACTATACAAGCATTGGGCCCCATACAGAAACAGCCATGGAATGGGCTCCCTCCGGTCTTCCATTTTTCAAGCTCCAACTACCCCACGCTTCCATCTAATCCATCGTTCTCTTTTGGACCTCCAGATATTTCATCACCTTGTTTTTTTTTTATGAAGATATTTCATCACCTTTGTGCAAAACAACAAACTACTTTCTCACTTAAAAAAATCTTTTTTTTACTATAAGAGTATCCACAATGGTTGTTCAATAGTTCAATAAAATGAATTATTTTGGCATTTATTGAATTGAAATGTAATTTTACTTACCATGGTACATCTCAATAGTTTAAATTTTTTGGCATGTAAGTCCCATGGTTAGCCTATTGCAATTCAATAAAGGGTTTGTGGGAGCAAATATTTTCGTCTCCAATCAGAGCATGCCATGTGGAAAAGAAGATTATCCCTTAAATTAATTAATTAAACCATTTATTAGGATAATTAATTAATTTTGATAATATCTTAATTATATGGTATTATCTCATAATTAATAAAAATAATATCATTAATTGGGATATTATCATAATAAAGGGGTATTATCTTATAATTAATGAGATAATATCAATAATTCGGGTATTATCTTATCAAAGGGATAATATCCTAATTATAGAATTATTAGATATTATCTTATAATTAACGAGATAATTCAAATATTATCAAGTCCGACTCGATCTCTACGAAACCCTAGCCCCGAGGCTCCTATAAATAGATGACTTCAGTCATCATTCAAGGTACTTCAAAAACCCTACATCTAAACCTACTCCTGATACCCGAGAAAATACCGAAGCTCTCTTCCCTCTCCCTCTCCACTCTCCACTCTCCATATTTTCTCCACATGGCTCCGGCCGCCCGGTTCACACCATACATACAAACTCCGTACCATTTGCTTAGCTATTGTTTTCCAACAAACAATCGAACTAACTTAGGCATCGGAGGGCCTTTGGCCAACACCCCCCGGGTGTGGTCTATTTACTCCAATCTTTTTTACAGGAATCGAGGAAGAGAGAGAAGGAAGATCGAAGGTTGAAGGATCTAGAAGCGAATATTCTCCCGCGAGATTATTTGCACAAACATTTGGTGCTTTCATTGAGAGCGCGAGTTATACTCAACGCGTGCTCAAGGAATCCGTTCCTCCTATTTTCCAATCCATTGAAGCCTTCCAAGCAACCATGGTTGCAAGCAAGCGCACGAGGAGCAAGACTGCCACGATGGCTCGATTTGTGACTGCCCAAAGTCACTCCTCCCACGATCCCACGATCGACATGGTTGCACCTCCACCTCTCGCTGCCGTGAACCCGCAGTAAACCCTTGTTGTTGCACCACTGCAGCCACCCCGTGTGGCTGGAACCACCGTGCTTCCTGTCGGACCCACAGCTGGGACCATCGCACCGGCCTCTGCCATCGTCGTACCATCTCAAGGCCCCGTGGCTGGATCTAGCCACCTTCATAGCGCTGCCGCCGAACATGGAGGAACCTCCCATCAAGGTGGGCTCACGACCACCGTCGACTTAGGCCCGATCTTGGAGCAACTTCAAGCATTCCCTCCATTGCCTCCGCGCTCGACGTACACTCTTGCGTACACCTCCAATTAAACCCTAGCCCGTGTGCAATTGGGCTCAACACAATTCTCTTCTCCCGATCCACGAAGTCAAGTAGACCTCAATATGAGAGTTGACCAGCTAACTCAGAGAATGGACGACCAAAACAATTTGATGAGGCAGCTCCTCAACCAAATAAACTTGGCTCAAAATCTTGGCCTTGGACAACAGGGCGAAGAGAGAATGATGGACGAACGCGCTGATAGGCAGTTCGATGTGTATCAAGTAGGTCGAGCAAGAGTAAGCAGACAAGGAGAGGGACAACAACACGGTCGGCTTGCCGACATGTCGCAAGCATACACTTAGAGCAGACGAAGTCTCTCATCTAGATTGAGTTCAAGGACCAATGTTCACGAAAGGCTAGGTCCCCAAGGAGGTCAACCTAACGACCCCTACAGTGAGGATTGTGAAGAAAAGCGCTCCGCTGCCCGCTCCCGAAGAACTAATTCCCGTCGACAAGCTATAGGAAATTCCTCACAAGCGCAGTCCACCAACACGCCGCCTAGGCAGCACAGCCGAGAAGGTCGACTCTTGCAAACCAACGAAGAAGTCAATCAACGTCGCCCAAATCGCGAAGGTCACCAACGTGACCAACTAACTATGTGTGCGGAAGATGTTTAGAAGCTTGTAAATAACCGACTTCGAGATTTAAGGATTGACGGAAATTTCGAAGATGCATTACGCATGGAGGTAGACCGAGCAAACTCCTCACCTTTTACCGCCGAAATAGAGCAAGCTGCTACTCCGAAACGATTCTCAACGCCCTCTTTCACATGCTTCAAAGGGGATTCCGATCCTGAAAATCATCTGAAGCATTTCAAAAGCGTTATGATCCTCCACAAGGTTGAAGACGCATTAATGTGCAAAGTGTTTGCAATGACTTTGCTAGGAGCAGCTCAGGACTGGTTCTACACCCTGCCATCCGGGTCGATCAGCAGCTTCAAGGAGCTTGCTTATGTCTTCACCAAGGAATACACTTCTTACCGGACGATTAAGAAGAATCCTGACCATCTGTTCAACTTGCACAAGAAGTCCGACGAATCCCTTCGAGACTACATCAAGAGGTTCAAGGCGGAGAAAGCAAAAATTGTAGGATGTGATGACCAATTTGCGTCCTCTGCCTTCAAGAGGGGCTTGCCAACTGAGTGCGAGTTGTATCGCAAGTTAACCATCTCTCCCTACCAAACACTGGTAGAAGTCTTCACCACAGCAGAGCGCTACGCACTTTGGGACGACGACCGGATTGCGGCAAAGAAGGCTGCCAAGCAAGTCGATCACCAAGGATGAAGGAATGGCAACAACAAGGATGAAGGCAAGCGCAAATCACAACCTGAAGGAGGTACTCCAGCAACTGAGAGCTACACAAGGTTCACTATCCCGATTCACCAGATCCTGGCCCAAGTAAGGGACATGCCTTGGTTGAATAAACCATCGCCTTTGAAAGGAAACCCAGCCAAGAAATATACCAGTAGATATTGCGCATTCCATGAAGGGCACGGTCATTACACAAACGACTGCTTCGCTTGGAAAAGGCACCTCGAAGAGCTGGTTAGAG